CGTGCGGGTCCCGCTCGTGCTCTGTCCTCGGGACGGGCGGAGCCAGCCCACCTGGGGTCGGGAGGAGATGGGCTTCAGATGCCCGAGATGAAAGCTGGACGGGACGGAAGTTTTACGGCGCAGGACTTGACCCTCGTAATAAATGCAGCTGAGGTTACTTTTGCCGAACAGCTTCCACTCAGGAAGGCCTCGGGGCTGGCTGGTTTATGGGAAACACGTTGGTTACTTTAGAGCGAATGCACTAAAACGGGTTGGAAAACGGGTTAACGCCTCCTTTTCAAGGCAACAGCGGTGTTACAGGTTCTCATACGTTTTTGTGGAGACTCACGTGTTTGTTTTTTAAGAGTTGTAAATTTTCAACAGAATCCTGCTCTTTGGGCTATTAATTCATTCAGAATGCATTAGGGAGTAGGGAATAATCAGTTTCACTTATTTGTTTTTACTTAAGGTCAGTTTCGCTTTCTTTTCTATGTCATTGAATCAAGTCTGCCCTGTGTTTTTGTAAAGGTTTAAGGCTTAGTTGTTTCGTTGTCTTAAAAATAACCAAAACCGAGGTGATGCCTTTCTGAAGCAAGTGCAGGAACGTGGGTTACATTGTCTATGAAGAAGCGGAGGGTAACAGTTTCTTGTTGCGGGTGTTGATGCTACCTCAGGGCATGTGGAGAACCTTGATGTTTAAATAGCGTATTCGTATTAAAAATTCAGAAAGAATAGTGCATTCTGGCATTTGGGAGAAATACTAAGGGAGAAATACCATACAAGAGACCTAGAATTTTAAGACTTTTGAATAAAAGCTAAGGAAACCCTGGCGAAGCCAGTTTGTCTCATTCCTCCACACACATCCAGCCTGATGGATGCCAGTACTTGCTTTTTTTTTTTTTTCCAAGCATGCTTTTGTAACTTTTTGTATATCACCAGAACATGTTGAGAGCAATTTTAACTTTTCGCTGAAGTAGTTGCTTAAATGTCCTGAGATTTGTAACAGAGATGTTGCGAAGCTTCGCTGAGAGTCAAGAGCAGTGAGGGTGTGCATCCTGGGTCCTGCACGGCGCTGCCTGGCTTCCAGACAGCCTTTCTCTCTGCAGCTGATGGGATTTAGTCGGATGCCTGATGGTTGTAGGGGAAGAATTCATTGGCTGAATGTACAAATGAAGACGAATGGATGGTTTTGGTTTGTTTCCCCAAAATTATAATGCTGTGTGGTTATTGATGACTGAGTTGTATGCATTCCTTTTTTAAAAAAATATATATAAGTGCCCCACCCTCCCCTCAAAAAAGGCAGTTGAGCCAATAAAATGATTTTACTTGGTCGTTTGTTAACGGTTGTCCTGAAGGGGTGTCTATACAGGGAAAATCAAGGTTTTTGCTGTTTAACATCACTGTAAGTAAGCCTTTCCTTATCGCCGTTTGGCTCTCTTGCTTTTCCTCCTTCCCTTCCTCTTCCTCACTTGTTCTCTTACTCTCGTCTCCACACCGTTTCGTAATTTCTGTGGAGTCTTTGACGAGGAAAGTGTGAATTTTCTTTGGATAATATGGCTCAAGTTTTCTTCCTGAATGAAGGTCCAGTACCTTTTTGTTTTGTTTTGTTTTGTTTTTAGTTTTCTCTTTTTCTCAGTGTCTTAGGTTGACTTAAAATTTCAGTTCAGTTTTTATTTCATTAAGATCTAAATAATCTCTACTCTTCTGGTTTTTATGTAAGAGTCCAAAAAGTTTTTTAAGGTTATCCTTTTTGGGGAGGGGGTAATCATTACCTTAATTTAAAATATTAACAAAATTTTGAGGCTTTTAAAAAACTTGTGAGCAGACAGTGCATTGTAACTGTTGTTGAGGTGGCACGTACATGGATATTTATTATCCTCTTTCTGTATTGAATATTTTTAAAACAAGTTTTAAAGGCTGTTCCTACTTCAGTTTTTAAAGGATTAAGTGAGATGTTGTATATAAATCACTCAGCACAAACTGGTACTAAAGCAAACACTGGTTACTTTGTATCTCCAGAATTCATTCATTGGTTCAACACGCCGATGGAGAGCTTTCTGTATGTGGGGTCAGGGTTACAAGTAAGAACATGACCGAGCACACAGGGAACCTGTGGTGCAGTAGGTGCTGAAACGCTGCTGTATGAATCAGCCCAGGGGCGCTGGGGGCCTGTAGGAGGGGCTCTAGCCCAGTCTTGGGGGAGGAGGTTGTCAAAGTTTCCCGGAGGAAGTGAATTCTAAGCTGAGCAGTGGAAGTGTTAAGTGGCTGGAGGTGGGAGGATGGAGGAGAGCTAGCTAACCAGGAGCAGCATGTGCAGAGCCCAGAGAGAGCAGGTGGGAAAGGCCTGTGGGGAGTGTCTGCAGAGGTTCCTAGGTCAGGCAGTGCCCAGGCTGGGTGTTAGGGGGATGTGGTGCAGGGGGCAGTCAGGGCACACCTGAAGGATTATCTGCAGAGCAGTGCCATATCAGACTTGGCTGCTACTAGACAATTTCAGAAACATTCTTAAACATTCTATTGACCAGGTTGGTGTAGCCAGAAGGAGCCCAGCCAGAAATGTTGGACTTTGGTGCCTTGTCCCAGTTGCTGCCTAGTTTGGGTTTATAGACCCTGTGGATTCTGTCCAATCTCTCATAGGTCCATTATGAAAATTAAATAAGTTAATGTATGTTCAGCGATTAACCCAATGCCCAGCACATAAAAGATGCTACATTAGTGGTAGTCCTACGATTTTAAGATGGGACTCAAAGAGAAAATTATAATTGAGTACTTTTATAACATGTATTCGTGTTCAAGTTTGATGTCAGCAATGTCTTACGGGTTTCATTTAAGAAGTCATATATACCAAATAGATGAGTCTCTTTAGAAAAATGTGCTTCAGAGGTGCTTTCCTGTACTTTAATGCCATTCATTTCAAACAACATCTTTTGGACTTTATGCTCAAAATTAAAGCTAGATGTTCTCTTTGTGTAGCTGAGACTTCTCCCTGAGGAATTAATATGGATTGAAAATTGAGTCCCATGCAATTAGCGCATTTCACATTCCAGTTTTAAGCAATAGAGAGAGAAAAATATGGGTACTTGGTAAATGTATATAATTGGAAATTGAGGTACCTGATTATAAATTGAAATATCAGAGTTTTAAGAGGCATGGAGTAGAACAACAAGGTAACATCAAATATTTCATCGAAGGATCTGTAATTAAAAATCGTTGATATGTTCAGAGTAGCACAATGTCCCAAGGAAGCAATTACAAAGTGAAAAAATACTGTTGCTTTTATATTTGGATCATTTGTTTGAAAATAATTAAAAATGGCTAGACTAACTTCCCGAGATCTAATGGTAGACTAAGTAGATTACTTTTCTGAGCTTATGAGACAAATGTATGCTTTTCCTCTTTTGCAGAGTTGAACAATGACCATAGTTGACAAAGCTTCTGAATCTTCAGACCCGTCAGCCTATCAGAATCAGCCTGGCAGCTCGGAGGCGGTCTCACCTGGAGACATGGATGCAGGCTCTGCCAGCTGGGGTGCTGTGTCTTCACTAAATGATGTTTCAAGTCACACACTTTCTTTAGGACCAGTACCTGGTGCTGTAGTTTATTCAAGTTCATCTGTGCCCGATAAGTCAAAACCATCACCGCAAAAGGATCAAGGTACTTTTTAAAAGACAGAATGACTCCAAGAGACTCCTGTGTAAATGCTGTCATTGGGTTGGTAGTTTCAGAGGGGAATTATTTTGCACAATAGATCGCCGCTGCCCGAGTGGCCAGCCGAGTTACGTTATGATGGCTTCATTCTCCTCCGCTGCTTATTCCTGATTAACATGTCATGACGAGGTAGATTGTTTCTAGTTACTATGATATTAGTAGTTTTTTTATTTCTAATTTGTTGAAGGGTAAACTTTATCTTGGTGAGAATTGAGATGGGCAAGCATTTTGTTAATTTGTCAATTAACTATAGTTCCTTAAGTAGATGTCTGTCTTTTAAAAATTTAAAGATGTTTTAAAAAATACTGTAGTAGTTTTTTGTTGTTTGCCAGTTAAGCTCATCTGTAGTAAATAAAGCTCTTTGAAAGAGAGCAGATAGTGTAAATGTTACATTTGTTAAAATTCATCCAGTTAAATAAGGCAACGCTCCAGTTGGTACTTCTAAGACTTTTGGATTTGGAAGCTTAGAAATGCAAAGAATAGGTTAGTTCCTACTTAGAACATGGTCTGGCTTCAAATAACTTGGCCCATACATTGTTTTGAGTCCTTTTAGTAGCTGTGCTGTTGTGGTATGGGGGTGAGTGGTGTGATTTGATGAGGGTGTTTTGAGTGGGGGAAAGTTTATTTCACAAAACAATTGAATTGAATGTTACACATAGAAGTTTCAAGACCTTCAGCAATAAGACTTTCCTACAGGACATCATCTCACACACCCCTGCCGCTGGGGCTCCTCTCTCTCGTTCAGGACTTCGTTCACTTCATCTCCCCTGCTCTTTGGGGGTCTTTGTTCTACTTTTTTTTTTTTTTTTAAATATATCTTTATTGATTTCACAGAGAGGAAGGGAGAGGGAGAGAGAGAGATAGAAACATCAGTGATGAGAAAGTCATTGGTTGAGCCCGCAACCCGGGCATGTGCCCTGACTGGGAATCGAACCCCGATTGCCTGGATCCTAGGTTGATGCTCAACCGCTGAGCCACGCCCAGCCGGGCTTTGTTCTACTCTTTACAGACTCATCTCTCTTTTCCTCATTTTGCTCTCCATTCCCCACCAAGCTGAAGCCTATCTTCGCATACTTACATCAGTAATATCTCTTAAAGGAGAGGACCATCTATTGGGCATCTCAGTGTTTGGTAGTACCAAGGAACTGGCAGACTTATTTTTAAAAAATATATCTTTACTGATTTCAGAGAGAGGGAGGGGGGAGAGAGAGAGAGACATCAATGGTGAGTCATTGATCAGCTGCCTCCTGCATGCTCCCCACTAAGGATGGAGCCCGAAACCCAGGCATGTGCCCTGACTGGGAATCAAAGCGAGATCTGGATCCTAGGTCACTGCTCAACAATGAGCCACACTGGCTGGTCTGGCAAACTTTTGAAAAAGTAGTCTGCTATAGATGAGTTTGAGCTTTCCTAAATAAATTTTTTTTTGAGNTGTTCTACTCTTTACAGACTCATCTCTCTTTTCCTCATTTTGCTCTCCATTCCCCACCAAGCTGAAGCCTATCTTCGCATACTTACATCAGTAATATCTCTTAAAGGAGAGGACCATCTATTGGGCATCTCAGTGTTTGGTAGTACCAAGGAACTGGCAGACTTATTTTTAAAAAATATATCTTTACTGATTTCAGAGAGAGGGAGGGGGGAGAGAGAGAGAGACATCAATGGTGAGTCATTGATCAGCTGCCTCCTGCATGCTCCCCACTAAGGATGGAGCCCGAAACCCAGGCATGTGCCCTGACTGGGAATCAAAGCGAGATCTGGATCCTAGGTCACTGCTCAACAATGAGCCACACTGGCTGGTCTGGCAAACTTTTGAAAAAGTAGTCTGCTATAGATGAGTTTGAGCTTTCCTAAATAAATTTTTTTTTGAGCTTCACCAGAGTCCTATTGGCTATTGGAATATTGGCATTAGCAATCTGTTTACAGGTCTTAAAAATAGATAAAAATCTCTCTTATAGCATGTATAGTATACTTACAAGTGAATATAGTGGTGCCCAAAAGCCTGAGTTCCTGGCCCGTTTCCTTACTGGTAAAATGGGGATGACATCACTACCATCTCCAACAGACAGTGAAGACTCAGGAAGTGGTGGTGGTGGCACTGAGTGTAAGCATCTAAGCAAATGCTATAGAGTCCACTCATCCTTCACTTTTTATTGTGTTGTTTTTAATTTTTTTATTGTAAAAATTTTTAAATAGATGTAAAAGGGAGAGTAATTATAATAAACTCTCATGAACCCATCAGTCAACTTTGACATTTATTAACTCATGGCCAATTATATTTCCACCCACTTACTCCTCTCCCCACTACCCGTCATTTTAAAGCAAATCCAAGACTTCATATTTCACCTATAAATATTTTAGTGTGCAGATCTAAATTCTTTCTAAAAATTAAAACAATTTTATTTTAATCCAGTCAATGTTAAAAATTTCCCATTGTCATACAATTTTTTAAAAAAGTTGACTGTTGGGAGCAACACCCAGACAAGGTCTGCACTTTGCATTTGGTGTATGTCTTTTAAGTTTCTTTTATTTTGTAGCTCCTATCCCCCATTGTCCTTGCAATTTGAAGAAACCAAGTCATATAGAGTTTCCTACATTCTGAGCTCTGCCTTTCTCCCCTGTATTTCTGGTTAGCTGGTAATAAGATTTAGAATCATCAGATTCAAGTGTGATGTGTTGCTATGTATTTAGCTGCAGAAGTGTGCAAAGCTTTATTTTTAAATATTCTTTATTTTTCTAGCCCTAGGTGATGGCATTGCTCCTCCACAAAAAGTTCTTTTCCCATCTGAGAAGATTTGTCTTAAGTGGCAACAAACTCATAGAGTTGGAGCTGGGCTCCAGAATTTGGGCAATACCTGTTTCGCCAATGCAGCACTGCAGTGCTTAACGTACACACCACCTCTCGCCAATTACATGCTATCGCACGAACACTCCAAGACGTGTAAGTGTCCTATGTTAGGTTACGTGTGTCCCGTTGTGGTATACTAACCTACTTTCATATTTTCTGTGAGTGAAGGGGAGGAATTGAGGCAAGAATTCTGTGTTCACTGAGCAGTTGGTTTATTCTTTTAGAAACTGTGCAGGAATATTTGTATTCAGGTTGTGAAAGAAGCATTTTGCACCTAATTCAACCTGTGAATTTATTTAAAAAGAGACATATTTTATCAGCTTTTGGCATTTCTGAACCCTCTGCTGGCTTTCTGTACTTGCTAAAAAATGTGACACAAATGTCTGTCACCAACAGCTGGGGACAAGCAGGATTAAAAATCCTGCCTGTTCTGGAGACCATCCTGTGCTTGATTCATTTACAGGCTTATGAGCCCTAGTGGAGAGGAACTCTCATTACTGCCCAGCCTCCTGGAAATTCATACAGGACTTTCCCTTCCACGTGTGAGAGCTCAGTTTTCAACCTAAAGGGCAGGAAATCAGTCAAAACATATTACGGTCCTTAATTAGGTGAAAGCCAACTCAGTGTGTGACTAGTGAAATTCAGAATTTAGAACGTATCTGTTTTTTGAGGTTTTGACCTTCTACACATATTGTAAATATCCTTCAACCTTTGCAGATGAAATCTCCCTGTTCTTTGATCTACATTAAGCCTCAGATTTGCTTGTGTATGTTCAGATGGCTCTTCATTAATTATCAGGGTGGAAAAAAAGCCCCTTGGTTTCTTTTTGAATAGTTCTTAATGGAGAATTTAAACTGGTTCTTTTAAAACCGTTTTTCCCCCCAAAGAGCAAAATAATGCTTGTAAAGAATTTGGAAAGTACAGAAAATTTAAAGAAACCAGAGGAAAATCACCTAGAGTCTCACTGCCTAGAGGTGTTTGCTGTGCCAAAGGGTTTTAAATTACAGAATGAACATTCTCTCCCTTTAAGTCCGTAATTCACTCCCTACAGACAGTTTTCCCATCAGTTTTGTGCTAAATGAAAGTAGGATGTGGATGAAAACCCAGCCCTGGTGCCTGAACGGCAAGAGAAAGGACCAGGACAAAAATTCAGAAGCTCCTGGTGTCCAGAATTAGGTGCCTGTCTTTATGCTATTGGCAGTTTTCTGTCCTCTCTGTTTTCCCAGCTTCACTGAGGTGTAATTGATGTACAATGACATGCATGTATTAAAGTAAACAATTTGATGTGTTTTGCATTTGTATTCGCCCATGAAACTGGCACCACAGTTAACTTGCTGCCCCTTTTCATTGCCCCTAAAGTGTCCCGGTGCTCCTTGGAAGTTACTCCCGCTGCCCTCTCTACCCTTCAACCCCCACCCCAGGCAACCACCAGTATGTCCTCTGTCTACTAGAGATTAGGGTGTGCTTTTTAAAATGTCATATAAGTGGAATTATATACAGTATACCTATTTTGCCTGGCTGCTGTCGGCACGATTATTTCTATATTATATCATGTTGTTGCATTTATCAGTAGTTAATTTTTATTGCTGAATAGTATTCCATTGTATGGATGTACCACAATTTGTTTCTCCATTCACCTGTTCGTGGACATTCTGGTGATTTCCCATTTGGGGCCATCACAAATTAAGCTGCTTTGAACATCTGTAAACAAGTCTTTATAAGGACCTGTTTTTTATTTCTCTTGGGTAAATATCCAGGAGTTTGGAATGTCTTGGTCCTGTGGTACGTCTGTGCTTAACTTAAAGATACTTTCAAAGTGTTTCCCAAAGGGATTGTGGCATTTTACATTCCCACCAGCTGTGAATGAAAATTTTATTTGCTCTGCATCTCGCCTGATACTTGGTGTGATCAGTTGTTCCAGTTTTTGTCATTCTAGTAGGTATGTTGTAAAGCAGTACCTCTGGTGGCTTTAATTTGCGTTTCCTCATGAATGCTGCTGAACATCTTCCCATGTGGTTGTTAGCCATCGGCATATTTGCTTTGTGGAAGCACCTGCTCACATCTTTTGCCCATTTTATTTTATTTT